TTCTATTTTTACTTTTTGAAATCATTTGCAGGAAAAGGCTTATCAGTTATTTCTAATTTAATTTGCCGTTTAAATAGAGGATTTAATGCATGCAACAACTAATTTGTACTAATTAACAAATTAATTAATGTTAAAATTCGAAATTGAAAAATGCATGCATATATTATTTGTAATATCACTAACACCTTTATTAACACCTTATAATAAACCTTTTTAGACCTTATAATAAACTTTTTTTTTTTTAATTTCAGTTATTCCACAAAAAGAGATGGACATATATATATATATATATATATACACATACACGTACACACACTACACACAAACACACATACACACACGCATATACGTACACATATCGTACACATATATCTCGTCGACATACGCATACACATACCTACACACATATACACATACACCCACAAACATACACACACACGCATATACGTACACATATCGTACACAAATATCTCGTCGACATACGCATACACATACCTACACACATATACACATACAGCCACAAACATACACACACATACACGCAAACAAACGTTGTACCTGCAGGAATTTGCTGTTTAATATTGCAGGAATGAAACTAATTTTTGCATTTTCTTTCTTTTTAATTAATCAATAGCCATTGAAAAGTTTATTTTAACATATTTTAGAAGAAAATTGCAAAAAAAATTTGCGAAATTATGAAAATTTGATATTAATTTTATTAAATATTTATATTTATCAAAATATTTCCAATTTTACATCCACCAAATTACAATAAATTTCATATAGAAAAATGTTACAAATAAATTGCAGATAAATTAAGAAAATGTGAAAATTTTTATTTTAAAATGAATATGAAAATTTTTATTTTAAAAATCAGAACTATTATTGTAGGAATATCAATATTAAAATTATATAAATGCCCGCTTTTTGCTCTCTAATTAATTTTTTTTCTTTTTTTTTACTGCAATTTAAATCAGATTGGACAATATTGCAACTTTCATCAATTTTTGAAGCAATAAAATTACCAGAAAGAAAAATATCTTCGATATCAAGCATTGAACTTAGTGTCAAACATTATTGTTGGGAAAGTTTCGTTGTTTTTTTTGTTGTTGACACGATGAATCACAAGGGGATGATGGTTTATTGAATTGTAGAATTATAGCAATCAATATAATACAATAGTATTAGGTTATAAAAAATAGTGGTTGCAATGGTTAAGTTAAGTAGTACAGTGAATTTGAATAGAAATGATAAATAGTTGAGAGTTAAGGGAGACAAATGTAACACTGATATAACGTTGACAATAAAATTTTTCTGAAACTCGAGAATCCATTATCGGAGCATTTGTAGCCCATAAATAGGTTAGGCTTACGATAACATACAGATGCATACAAAAGATTTATACATGAGACAGTATTATTGTATAATTGAACTATCAAACGTATACATGCTTAACATTAGACAAAAGGCATTTGTTGGAAGATTTGAAGTTTCGATAATTAACTTATCACGTTAGATATGGGAAAAGGTTTTATATTTTTTTTTTTTGTCTAATGTAATAAGTTTGTTAGCCTGGAAATGATCAATACAGTAAATTCGTTAGCTACTTGAACACATTACAACTTCCTTCAATTTCTCGACAAACATTTGAACTTCTTTTAGTTAAATCATTTTATACCTATAATGATTTAATCATTTCTTCCCTCAGAGATATATTTCATTGCTTTTTTTTTAGGAAAAGAAAAAATGAAAGAGAAAATTGAAATTCTCAATTTTGATCAAATCTATCTCAACATTAAATCTATTTCAATATTATGATGAATAGAATTTGTATAATACATCTAACAAAAAAAAAAAAGAGAAAAAGAAAATGCTCAACTTAGCTATACATACGGAACAATCATAACAAATTTCAAAACTAAGAAGCTTTAGAATAGATATGAAAAGGGAACGAAAGATTTCATATGAATTCAGCATAAGTATTAGTTAGAAGTGATGAAGCAACATAGGTTCTCCCTCTGATTAATAGAAAGATTTCATATGAATTCAGCATAAGTATTAGTTAGAAGTGATGAAAGGCAACATAGGGTTCTCCCTCTGATTAATAGAAAGATTTCATATGAATTCAGCATAAGTATTAGTTAGAAGTGATGAAGCAAC